TATTAATACTCAAAGTTATTATTTGTTTATTTCTAAATATTATTATTTTTTTATATTTAAATGTTAATTTTTTTGTGTGTATTTAAATGATACTATTTTTTGCGTTTGAATGTTACTAATTTTTGTGTTTAAATGTTAATATTTTTTTAATGTTATTATATGTATGTATGTGTGTGTATATATATATATATGAGAAAAAGAAATAAATAGTCTTATTCTATAAATGAATATAGATAGATATGAAAAAAAAAGAGAGAATTTTTATGTTAGTCAAACTCCTAATTAATATAGATAGACATGATTAATTTAATTAATAATAAATTATATCAAGAAATCACATTAATATTTTTATGAAAGATTTGGCGTTTTGACTTTCTTTTGTTGTTATAAAGAGTAGGGATGTCAATTTTCGACACGACATGAATCAAACACGAAAATATTGGGTCAGAAACTAAATTAAACGGATCAATGGGTAAAAACGAGTCAACATTTTTAAATACGAAAAAAATCATATCGAGTTCATGTCAAAATCAGGCCCGTATACTTTAAACAGGTTAACATGATTCGGACACGAACTTGACCTAACCCATTATAGACTCGTTTATGACAATATAATTTGCCTATTATGTATGACTGATATGATCTTAACATTATTTCTTATTAGTTATTATTTTTACTATGATAATTGACAGTATAATTTTTAACATTATTATGATATTATAATAATATAGTTCTTGTTTTAATTTTTAAGTTGAAACTTGAATATATTTTAGTTAATTTTATTGATTAAATGTGATATATTATTAGTGAAAAAATTATTTGAAATTTTAAATGAAAGATTGAATGATGTATTTAATAGTAATGCACATATATGAAAGCATGTTATGTATGATAAATAGATTAAATATATTATGTTACGTGTATTAACTAGAAAATGACATGTCAACAGATTAAGTTCGAATAATCTATTTTATAGCAAAATCAAGTTAATACTTACACTAAACACCATTATTAAACATGTTATCATCGCATCTTAGGATTTTGGACACAAATTACAAAATCAATCCGGTACGACATAACTCAACCCGACACAAACGAGGTTCGGCGGGGAACCTTACCCCAAAAACTCCACAGGCTAATCGTCCCAGCAGTGAACATGTCGCTTTATATCCTCAGTTTCTGAAAGGCATTTTAGGCAGATTCAACTCGGTACATTCCTCTCTCTCTCTCTCTCTCACACACACACACAGATAGGATTTTGATTTATTGAAGTTTTACTTCATGAACGTGACAATTATTGCTCACTTTACGAATATCACTGCAATCAACAGCAAAGTAAGTCGCCGAGAGTTCCACAAATCTTTTTTTTCTAGCGATTCCTTCATACCTCTTTACCAATTTCCTACACTCCCAGTCCCAATCATAGGTTTTGGAAGAATTTATTACTTGAAACTTGATGCATAACAGAATATATATCACATTGCATCTATTGCTATTTTTTATGTACATTTGTGTAGAACCATTGGAATTCAAGGTTAGTCAAATACTTTTTAACCACATATCTTCAATTTTCCATTGCTGCCATGTTTCAATGTAATGGCGGGCCTTGGCGTACTGGGAAGATTGTTCCTTGTACCCTCGGCGTCAAGGGTTTGAGATACAAACATAGCCTCTCTGAATGTGGGTAAGGCTATATCCATTTGACCCTCCCCGACCTTGCAGTGGCAGGAGCACGAGAGAGCTGTCCTTTTTTTGTCATGTTTGCATCGGGGAGCCATAATCTGCATGTCAGTGTGTTTGAATTGCTTGTATTTGATTGTAATACATAACAAACTGTTGATGTGTCGAACAAATCGCACAGCGGTTGATGATGAGGGGTCTTGAGCCATATAAGAGAGTGGGTCACTCCACCAGTCCACCTACTAGGGGCACCCTTTGGGCTTGAAATCCATGCCCAACAAGTGGTATCAGAGTCATGGCCTAAGCCACAGTGTGGACTCGACTCTTTGTGCTGGATGAGAGAACAGTGATGGGTCATCCATTATAAGCCATGTTCGAGAGGGGGATTGTTGAGGTGCGTGATGAGGGGCCTGGGTCAGGGAGCGGATCACTCCACCAACCTCCACCTACTAGGTGCATCTCTTGAGCTGGAAACCCATGCCCAACACAAACAGATGACTTCCATTCTCTATATGATAGAGTGCATTGGTTATAGCGCCAAGAAAAATGGTTTATAATAATCATCCAAAGTATTCATGTAAATTTTCTTTGAGATTAGTCAACATTGGATTGAAGGAGTTCTATATTTTATCATCCCAAGATTTGTAAGAAGCATATATCACCTCTTCTTGTTCTTGTTATTATTTGATGTAAAGAACCATTTCAATCACACGTCCATTGAACTGATGACTACAAAACAAACTTCAAATGCATGTAATTACCAGCAAATTACTCGCACTGGATAAACTTGAGATAGCAATCTCTACTGTTTTCTCATACGTACTACCTGGTTTATATCCCCTGTTAATACAGAGTTTTACCCCGTCTGCGGATTGGTACCCCTTTTCCATTTTTAGATATTTGCATGGGGTGGATCCTTGCCCATTTTAATGTAATCTATATATTGATAATTTGCTCTCAATGAAAGTTTTGTTTAGGCTCTCGTTTCTAATGTTTTTGATGTTACGACTGTCTTGCATTATAGAATATGCTTATCGCTGATGAGATTCAGTGATGCATGGAAGGTTGGTGGGAACCATAGTGGCTTGTTTCAGTCAAATCATACGGTAGAGGTAAGATTTCCTTTTCACCTCCTCCTTTTGATTTTTTTGTACAGTACTTATATTCCTCTATCTTTGGGCTGCTATAGGAAAGATAATAGCGAGTTGCCCTTTTCAATTTCTTTGCCTAATAACAAAAATTTGTGAACTGACCCCTGCTGAAGCTATGCATGACTAACCTATTGCAGGGAAGACTGAGATATATTAACTGATATTTTTTCTGTTACTTAGGAAAATTTTACTTTTTTTTTTGCTCTTGTTTCCCGAGAGTTATTATGGTTGCTAACAATAGATCTAGGAGTGGGAAGGGGCAACTGCCACCCAAAAATTTTGTAAAATTATATAGCATATGCTAAGTGACTAATAATACCAAATTTTGATCACCTTTACACTTATCCAAATGGTTTGACCTTGCAAATCTAATTTCTGTATCTTTCCCTGTTATGACATTTGTCAATATGTTTAATGTGTTGACACTGTCATCAGAAAGATCAGATTATATTGACCATTAGATCTACAATCAAAAGTTGCATTGTGGGCAAAGCAGATGAAATTTTTAATGTTTTCAGTGTCTTCTAACATTTTTGGCTAAATAAAAATCGGTACAGCCCCATGACTATGCTTGCAATTTGCAGTGGGCAGGTCAGAGAGATTTAATCACTTCTTAAGAATACTAAAACTCGGAACTTGTAGAATGGAAGGTTACATAGGGGCTGAAGTTTGGGCTGTCCAAAAGTCAATGTTCACATATGGATTTTTTGTTTTCTTAATTGGTTTACATTTGTCATTAATGTTTTGCATTTGAACCAACTTACATTTATGCCTCTATACTTGTGTTTCAAATAATTTCACAAGCTCTGTGATCTCTGGTGGTTGTGTGACTTGTGTCTACTCTATTTATCTTTGGGTGTGATATATTGATTGTTATAAACCTTTCATCCATTTTGCTTATGGTTTTGGTATAGCTTATGTTCGTAAACCTCTCTCTCTCTCTCTCTCTCTGGGTCACTGTCTTGGTATACCTTCTGTTCCTCGTAGGTAGAGAGGAAGTGATGGACTTATTGTTGCAACTTCTTCTGTTTCTTCTTCATTCTCACTCCCCCAGGGGACGGGGAATTTTAGATGTTATGACTTGCGATGATTCCCACATAAAAATTATGCTAGGGAGAGCATATGAATAGAGTGAAGGGGAATTTGTTAACCTTTTAGGAAAGCTTAAGGAGCTTAAAACTACATTCACAAAATTACTGCTTGAAATAGATAAATTTAAGTACCTAGTATAGGTTATATTTTTGTAGTGGGAACGCGATAAAAATGTTGATTGGATACATGAGATGCTTATTCAAAGAGAAGTAAGTGTGAGTTTTTGTTATTTGAAGTTAGAACGAAATTTGGTATAAGAACCGTAACTGTGATGGTCGCTGTTGATCGAATTCCCTTGTAACTTGCGAGTATGATGCAGTTTAGGTTTAAAATTGGTGCCTACCTCATGATTATTTCCTCATTCAAGTTTCTCTTTTCCTCTACTAACAAGGGTTGAAATCTAATTCCAGTAGTTTTATGTCTCCAAACATTGGAGTAAGAGTGGGAATCAACTTTCTATATCAACATTCACTTTTCTTTCTTTTTCGTCAGGTAAATAAGCATACGCCTGTGTTAAGTCAGATCAATTTTATCAGCAATTCACAGAGGTTAATAGCATGTGAAGTGAATCAAGAGGAGAACTCTGGATCCTGTAGAGGGAGAGAGAGGGAGAGAGAGTAGTAGTCTACAATTTAACCTGAATTTGAAGACTTATCACAAGGAGCTTTCAATCTTGGCACAAAAATATCAAGAATGGTTTACTTTATAATTACACAACAAATGCATCAGTATTACATGCAAGTCCAATTACACAGTACTAAGAAAGAAAAAGAAAAAGGGAGAAAGATCCAAGAAACAAACAGTTAGGTACATTCATTTCTCTACTGTTTCTTACAAAAGAGTGAAGGTCAATAAATCACAAAAAATGGAAAACAGAGAAATGGAAATTAAAAAATCCTAGAAGCCCCATTTCCTTCATACACCATTTGGTAAGAGAAACACGGAAACAGCCTCTCTACTTGGTGGGGTAAAGCTGCATTCGAGACCCCGCAGTGGAAGGAGCTTCATGCACTGGGTATGTACCAATAGGTAAGAGACACAGCCTTATACCTATACAGAGAATGAAAACATGGTCTGCTAATAACTGATTGGCATCTCTCCAAATATATTGATTTGAGAAGATGTAAATGGAAGTAAAGGAAATTCACTCAGATCTTGAATCAAACAGTCCATATCTACAAATCCATTAGAATCCTCATAACCTCCATACATCTCTTCGCATTCCTTCTTCATCCTCACCCCATTCTGCAGAAAGTTGATCCCATCTTGTGATCCTTTGATATTCCTACACCGTTTGGGATACTTTGTCCTTGACCCTTTAGATGGCAGGCTACTTGAGTTCTTTCCTCTATCTTTCCTGTTAGCAGGTTTTCCGGTGAGCCTTTGGACCAGCTCTCGAAAGTTTGCAACATCCGTCTTTATGAGTTTTGGCGGAAAGATGTGAGTTATGCGTATCTTTGGCTTGAACTTTGGTATAATAACATGTGAATCGTGGTACACGGCCAGCTTGGATGGAGCTGAAATGGTACCACTTGAGTGAGGCTTCATTTTCCTTTTTGAAGACAAAAATGTGTATGTATGTCTGTGTGTGTTGAGAGAGAGAGAGAGAGAGAGAGAGAGAGAGAGAGAGAGAGAGATGCTACTTGTGTCTGTTGAAAAGGAAGAATGGGAGTTTAAATAGGAGGGTGTTTAGTACTAAACTGTCCTTTTGGGATGCTGAAGAAGCACAAACTTGCAAAGAAAATCTAGCTGTCCATGGGAAGCAACTATCAGATTAAGATGGATGGATCATTGCCTCATGACTTAGAAAAACAAAACCATACTTATCTGTGCAACAGTGCTCATATTATACAGAATTACAGTATAAAATATGGTTGAACTTACCAACTTGCTCTTATATATCTCTCTATCACTTATCCAACAATTAAGGGTGGTGAATTTTTTACATATTGCCTTATTTCCTATCCTTCCATTGTATTGTTTTTCAGGGATTATCGAATCATAAGTGCTCTTAGGTAGAACCTTATTTAAACTACACGTTTGGAAAGTGTCCGAATCGGAAAATGATAAAAGTGCTGCAATAGAACCCTGTTTTGCTTTACACGTCCTGCATTTGACACTGTATTTATCATTTAATTCGGTTTATTATTAGTGATGAGTTTTAAACCCATGATCTATCTCCTCTCTTAAAATACTTTTCTGCATAACATAATCATTGCAGAAATAGATGGGATATAGGTGGTTGTTTGGAATATTTCAGAAGCTTTTAACAAAATTTACGTTGTGTTTTGTTACTTGTTCTGTGTTTAGGCGTGAAACTGGATATATGTTAGCTCAACTGGATTGTTACCTTGACTTATTGATAGGGACTCTGTTTGGTGATCCTCACTCAATATTAGGGGTGTTAATCAAGCCGAGCTTTGCATGTTTAACCCCGAACCTGTTGAGCTCGTTTTTTTAAATGAACTTAAAAATTTGTTCAAATTTAACTGTTTAGAAAATGAGCAGAGCCCGAGTCCGAGTAGTTCGACTAATTTATATATAAACAAGCTGAGATTTTTAGGATTTTTAAAAAACGAATTAAACTTGAGCTTAGTTCTATACAAAATTGAATAGTTCGTCTTGTTGAACACTCCAACTCACGATATGTCTGTCTGGGAAAGTCATTGTTTTAACTTTTGGCAACTTGTACCATGGATATCTTAGTTTTAGTTGGCCAAGGGTTCAAGTTGCTTATGATTACATGGTTGACTTCTTTTGTATGTGTGTGTGTGTGTGTGAGAGAGAGAGAGAGAGAGAGAGAGAGAGGAGCTGGACTTATTTTACTAAAGTCAATCTTGTGACTTAAGCCCATATAGTACCGATGGATTTAGATCTAATTTCAGTGTATACAGTTTTAATTTTTACAAAAGACGGATCACCGACAATGAACTTAAAAAGGACTCGTTATGCTTGACCAAAAAAAAAAAAAGATATAGGATTGATGGTCTGACTTTGAAAAAAAAATATATCGGAGTCGAGCTGGATCCGATTGTCATGCATATGCCATGGGGGTGGCTGTATTGTTTTCAGGATACAATAGAAAATTGAAAGTCAAACTAGTTATTAATGAAATAAGGTTAGGGAAATGTAGATCAAAACAAATTCAATCCTCATGCGTGTACGGACTTCTGACTATTGTATTACTATAAGAGGAAATGGTTGCCATGTCAAGATCATACGATATATGATACTTACCTAATATTAGAACCTCCATTATTAATATTATTATTATTATGTAATCTGCTGCTGGTCTTGCCTTGCGCTGGTGACACGGTTATTTGTACATACATAAAATATTTGACATTATTTGTGAGTTTTAAAATAGTGGTAAGGTTGTTTCATTGTAACATGAGTGTCAAATGTCCCGTTAAGAATATACATCCGACCCTCTCCAGATGTATCTTTTTTTTTTATTCGTGCTAACACACACATACAGAGACAGAGAGAGAGAGAGAGTTTGCATTTTTTTTCTTTGCTCTAGTAATTTCCCTTTATTTTTGGTAGATGAGTACTGGACTTCATCTGTGATTAATATAATAACACCTATATAAGTTTTACATGCTTTTCTACTTATTGCCAATGTGTTATGAACCAATGCTTTATCCTGGTATTATGAATAGAGTAGATGTTTTAGCCTAAATCTCAAACCAAATATTAGATTTTAAGGTCCATTGGACTATTTTCGTAAATCAAACCCTCTAAATTGAATTCAAATCGACATACCAAATAGACCTTTTATAAATTTGGTTTGATTCACATAAATCCATGATACGCAGAACGGTTGATGAAGTCTAATAACACGTACAGGGATGGAGTCACGGCAGACTGGAACTCCCTTAGATTTTGTTCTTTTAATCAGACTCGGCCCACCCAAAAGCCCGTTTGAATGGTTCCTACTGAACAACAACATTCATGACGCACCATTGTTTGGCCTCTCGGGGAATTCTTAGATTCGACCCGATCTTAATTAGATTATCTGAATTTATAGCTGGATATGTACTTCAATAGTCGTAAGTGATCGAGATCGTGAAATGTATACTCTAACTTGTTGAGTGATACTCTCATCTTTATTTTGTAATAATATTGGTATTTTTTTTACTGTAGACTTATCTTGATCATATTCAGTTTAATCAGGATTGCTAAAGTGAATAAATGTTGTGTACGACAAAATTTTCGGTGTTTATAGCATTTCTAATAGGCTCTTTAGTCTATACCCAACAAATCGAGTACTTGCTATGTTGCCAAGAGTAAGGTTACTTGTATTTATTTTTTAAAGTTTTGTTGCATTTAATTTACTAATTTGATTTGCTAATTAAGCTAATTCATATGTATTTTTGAATTGTGCTAAGTCTTTATCTCATGAGTAGGGGTGTTCAAGGGTCGGATTACTCACGGGTCTCGTTACTTGACTTGAAAAAAATAAGCCTGAAATTTGATGAGCTCGATAATTGGCTCACCTGAGCCTGAGGTTAATATTCTTCTAGAAAGAGTTTGGGTCTATCCCAAACTCATTACCTGACCCAAAACTCAGCCCAATAGCCAGTTTGCAAAAAGCCTGTTAAAATTCAGTCAAAGAACCCGCTTGCCCAGCCCAGCTTGAACAGTTCGCCCACCTTCATTTGAAAAAAAGTTAGACCCATTAAATTTGAGATTTGAAAAAGATAGTGATGTTGATCGTATAGCAGCAGAGTATTTGAATTGATAAGATCGATGTTGGGGTGATTCAGACCTGTCAAATAAGTTAACTTTTTCAGATACACTTTCACATACATGGGTTTCTAAACACCCATGTCCAATTAGCAACGATAGTGCGAAATGAACTTATTGCACCCCTAACAGGGGATGTGATGACCCAGGGTTGATTTTTAGGCAAATTTTTTCGTTTAGGGCCTCAAAAGGATGTTTTTGCCTTTTTTGGTGATATTTTGTAGTTGAAAAACTTCAGTGTTTAAAGTCAGAATTGATTGTCGTTAGTTCTGTTTTAATTTGGATAATTAGTATAATTAGTTTGAAAATTTTCTTTTATGGCAAAATTTGTATTAATGGCCTAATTACGTAATTAACAAGAATTAGGTCACATTTGGTTATTTCTTAATTAATTTTAGGATTTTAGCACTATTTATACCCTTATAAGCCTTAGAGCTAAACAATTTTTGATTGATTCAATTGAGAGAGTCTTTTTTTTTATTCCTAATTATTCTAGTATTCTTGTGAATCAACAGATCAATTGAAACTTTTAAAATTGGAATTCTTGTGAATCAACAACTCCAGAGTAGGATTCTAATCTGGTATTTGTATGCAAATTAACGGTTTTGTTTCACTATCTCATTTCGTTAATTAACTACCCTTATTCTATCCGCTTCCCTACATCAGATGGATAGATGGGTAGGTGTCAACCTAATTGAGATATACTTATTCTATTGCGAGTTCCTCCACTATTTATAAATAAAATTATTTATTATTTATTTTTTGTCTATTGTGACTCTACTTTTAATTCAAAAATATAATTTACAAAAATATTAAGTTATAAAAATATTTATTATTTCTAAATAAAGTTATATATAAAACGTCCGTCCAGCAGGCTCACTCACAAGCCTGCCCAACAGGCTCGTAGGTCCGCTCCAACAAGCCCGCCTAGTGAGTAGGGGGTTGGGCTATGGGTAGCCTGCTCCCTACTTGAAGCCTGGTCCGACCCGTTCGATAACTCATTCGAGTTAGGACTTGAGCTTTCTTTACCCAGTCCCGACCCAAAAAAATTCATAGGCCAGGCCGGCGAATCAATAAAATCATGAGGTCCATTACCAAGTAATAATAGTAATGAAATCAATTAATAAATTACATCTAAATCGTAATATTGTAGCTGCCAAGTGAGACTTAATAGGTTTAAGAGATTTAAATTGTGAAAAACACTAATGTACCGAAACAGTGATGTAAGATATGGTGTAAACATGCATGTGTAAATGCAGATGATGCAAACTTGTTTTTCTCCTCTTTTTTTTTCGGTCAGACATTATTACAAGAGAGGAGAGATATCTAGGCGAACCCATTTTTTTTTGTCAGACATTATTACAAGATAGGAGATAACGAGGTGAGCACATGACCTTAAAGTTTAATAACGCCGTTGTTGGAAAACATGAAAATAAGGTAAAGAACTTTCAAAACTCAAAATTTTATTTATTCACATACACCTCCTTACCAAACACTCAATGAACAAAAGAATTCCCTAAAATACAAAACAACAAACACATAATCTCCCCCATATCTTCTACTTAATACATGGCAGTTGAAAAAAACTGCCTAATTCAAGTTATTATATTAATTGGTAGATTAGTACTGTTCTTGGGTTGGTGACTTCAAGTCCTTGGAAGAAGGAGATGGCTCACCACCGGCAGGAATATCGGCGAGCATGGCGGCCAACCGGCGAATACTAACGGACCGAGCTGGTCGGAAACTGAAAGACCTGGTTGGAGTCTTTGAGAAGATGGTGGATGATTGTGACAGTATAAGATAAACCAGTGCTTGAACTAGCACAAACAAGGCCACCTTAAATAACATGTCTCCTTCAAAGCTAATGATCTCCATCACCATGCTGCTTGGTTGGAACTTGAAAATCAACAACTATAGGAGTTTTTGTGCAGAGAAAACTTCTAAGGAAGAGAATTTGGCAGCCTCAGCGCCGATTCTGATTGACGAATGCTTTCTTGCTTCTCCCCCTATTATATAACCGTGTTGATATAAGTGGTGGGAAGGAAACTTTGTGGGGAAGAGATGTAGGGGGGAGTTTTGGGGAGAGAAAATTGGTGAGGAAGAGGTAAGGTGGAAAGTAGAGAGAAATGAATTAGAGATATTTAGGCAGAGGCCTGCTTATATATAGAGCAACGAAGTCGGCGACATTGACTGGCCGCCTCTAATCAAACTGTAAATAAAGGGATGTATAAGATTAAGAACACGTGTTTGTGAAGGAAAATAAATAAAAGATTAGGTTACATCTCGTAGTATTGGGTTTTGACTTGGTCGAAAGTTTGATATAATCAGCTTGTGACCCCAGGAAGGTTGCAAGAAGTTTGTGTAACATGTGTTGACGAGGAATAGAGAATAACTTTTTTTTTTGTTTGACGGTAAGGGTGTTCGGGCACACTTTTCCTAATTTTCTTTCTGATTTGGTTAAAGACAGACCATTCATGTTGGAATTAGGATATTCATGAAAGATATATATCTCATAACTTTATCCTAAGAAATTATTAAGATTCAAACTGGAATAACTAATTTTTTACTAGCGATAGAAGTAATTTTATTCGGAAGTTGAAAAGGTGAAATTCAACATATATAATTCATCAACTGTTGACCGTAGAGTTGTCAATGATGGAGTCGAACTAAATTTTGTTCCAAATTTGAGAAGATCGAACTTCCAATTAATTAATGGTTTATACAAAAATTACGTGTTTTACTTCTTATTGTAATGTTGTAATGCATTCGAGAACGATGTGCATTGCAATTTTCATTGAATTTCGTGTGTATTATTGGTCCATGCAAACTTATTCATATGACTCCTATCAAGAGAAAATCAAAGGACGCATCTTTAAACACGCAATTATTCTAATTTATTTTTATCGTAATTGGAAACATTTGAATCCCTCTAGAATACTTATTTTTTTAAAATTTTCTTAGGGTTAAAATTATGACGATTGAGTCACTTAAATATAATTGATTCCACTTGAAAATATATTGTAAAGAATCTACGTCAGAATAGGATGTGGTCAAACATCATCTGTGTTATTTACTAGGATAACAAAGAACGTTCATATGACCAAGTTCTTTTGAACTTTAATTTTAATGGCTCTCTCTCTCTCTCTAGATTGTTCATCAATCAAATGGATATGGAAACTTGACGTCCATTTCTTAATTATTTTACTCTTTTTATTTTGTTAAGAAAGAATCTCTTCAAAATACGGTCACTCTAGACCCATCATTGTAAGAATAAATCCCGAATTAATCTTTTTAGTCAGAGACAACTTAGTATGCATTATTCATATAGAATACATCAAAATAGTTTAAAAAAATTGAACAATTTTTAACATAAATAATTTAGAAAAATCAAATCTACAACAAGTCAATTAAATCAATCTAGGGTCAAAAAAAATTTAACTAAATCAATCTTAGATATATGAATAACTTCATTCATTATAATTAATTTACTCAAGCCTATTCAATCGAAATGATTTAATCCAAAAAATAATTTATAACACATAAATTCCAAATATAAAAATCTAATTATTCGAAAACCATAATCACTGGCCCAAAAATTAAAACATATAATAATGATCGAAATCAAAGAAATCGTTCATGGTTTACCTCCCGACAAATCAACTTTAAAAGAATCTCTTAAGCTCTCATCCTTTTGAGCTATCTTCTCAATAAATCTTGACAATAACAACTGAAGTCGAAAATAGAGAGGTGCCGCTAAAGAGGGAATAAAAAAATGATGAGAACGAATTTTCAGAGTGTAGAGGTAGAACAAAAAGAGAGCCTAAGGATCCATGGATGTCGAATAGAGAAAGATCACAAAGTAGATGAACAGAATTTTGGCTGGAACAAAGGAAACAGAGACCTATTATGCCCCAATAAAGTAACTTTTTACTTTTGCTAGCGTTTAAAAGAACCCCGTATGTTTGAAAATATACATTACTACCCTTAAGTTTAAAAACTTTTCAGTGGGACAATCTTTAATAAATTCTAAAACTTCAAAAAGTTTTAACTACATCCCAATATTTTTCAAATTCCAGCTGCCCCAACTGCAAATCCGCCCCAGGGACTACCTGTATAGATTAATCTATCTCATTTTAACCACTAGACTAAGGCACCTTTTTTTTTTTTGTTTTTTAATGATTTGTCCGATAGACACTACATAGGTTACTTGCACGAAACAAATAGCAGTTGATAAGGTCATCCACTACGTTGCTTCTATGATTAGTTGTATGCCCATTTTCCTTAGTCTAATCATATAAACATATGTGACAAGAATTGAGTTGTCAAGCACCAAAAGAATGGGTCAATAGGAAAAACGAAATTGCCACGAAATTTTACTTTACTTTTATTCGTTCAACACTCATACTTTCCTCCCCTAAAAATGTTGAAGGGGCAATTACACGATATGCCCACAAAAATTTAAGATTTTTTAATTTTGCACTTTTAAAAATTAAATTTTTTAAATTACACTCTCAATGTATTAAAAATGTTATAATGTGACTCTTTTGTTAGTTTTTGTTACTTATTATGTCAAAAAAAACCTACATTGGCATTGACGAAATGAGTAATAAAAATTAATAAAATTACCACATTATAACATTTTTAACACATTTAGAATACAATAGAAGAAATGTAAAATTTGAAGGTAAAAAGTAAAAAAATTTAAATCTTTTAAGGTGCAGAGTGAATATTTTTTTTTTTTTTAACTTACACTAATCTCCTCCCCAATCCGGACAAATGCGCTATAATTAAGATATTCATAAGAGATAAATCCTTCGTAAATAAAAAATTACCTAAATTTAAACTCAACAACATCTAAATTTATAACTGTTATTAGCTAAATTACTCCTTCGGTGCAGAGTGAAATTCATCCAATGTTGAAGTCAACATCTTGGATTGATAGCTCCGTCAACATTATTAGCACAAACAGTACAAAGTCATCACACTTCATTAGCAATAGCAAACAAACAAGACCAGAATTCTCAAGCTGGCAGGTAATGATCGGCACTGACTGGGCGATGAAATGATAGGGTACTTCGAATGGACAAATGAGCAGAGGCTTCAGTAGGGTAATACCTGCAGGTTGTAAATTTGAATCAAGATCACCCAATGCCTTTGTATTTGCAGGTGATTGTATTGTATGCGTCCAGAATTTATGTTCCAACCACAAGTCCAAAAGACAAGTGAAAGGAAAGATTCTCTGTCATCAAAAACTAAAAATACTAGAACTCATATAGGTGTCAGTGAAACGAGAGTGAAATATTATGCCATGCAACTTCAAATATCATGGCATGTAACTAAATGTGATTATGGGGGCATAAAAGCAGCTTAATCCCCTCTTTATTAACAAAATTACGGACAAAAAGGTTTGACTAAGATATTACATGTAGCCAACTCCATATTTGCTATTTTGAGAGAAAGAGAGGGAGAGGGAGCGTGCACAAGACATCGCCAACTTCAGGTTACAGGAAGTAGCAGAGTCTTCCAGAGCAGATTTACACTTCGTAGACGACGATGATGAGCAATCTGATAACATACTAAATACTATATATTACCTGCACACAATAAAAGGTGAAGCAAAAGTGAAGAACTAGTTTCATGGCCCAGTCATGCATGCCTAAAAATATAAAACTTTCTCTTTTGGATATGACCTAGAATTTTAAAACTACAAGACAAACACAACAATACTTCATTGCTTATATTTTCCCACCCTTCTTTCATTTTTTAATTTAATTGTTTTTGGGGGAGGGGCATTTTGGGGTTTGGGAGGAGCTTAGATCAAATTGTGCTCACAGGACAAACTAAAATTGGTGTTGGCATAATTTAGTACACAGAAATAGAACCACCAACTGACATTTTGTTGTACCAATGGAGTCCCCAAGAATGAGGCTAGACTGAGAGATGGGATTTTCTTAAGTGTGGTTGCCCCTCTCTGCTACATAGCCGATGATTTCACCGACTATCAAAAAAAAAAGTCTTGCTTAAACTACCAGGTTGTCATCATATGTTCAAAGTTGGAATTTTTTGAAAGAAGTGTAGATTAGGTGATAGGGATTGTAAAGGGCCTGGATAGACATAAAATTAAAGATTAGAATTTTATTTAATTGTATTATTTATTAGATTATTTGGTTGTGTTTCTTGACCAAAATCCTTGCAGGGTTTGGTATCTCTCCTTTTTTTCTATTCTCCCCTTTCTTTCCCTTCCCTCTCTGCATCATTAGGCTAAGCAGGCATAATATCACCCCCCCCCCCCCCAAAACCCAAATAAATAAATAAATAAATAAAAGTTGACAGCAACAAAATGAGCAGTTACTCACGTATGAACTCCAGATGGTTCAAATACAAACGGCAAAAATGACAGACAACTAAACAAATGATACAATGCGAGAGATAACCAGTTTGCAATAATTTGACTGGAGCAATCATGATCTTCAAGAATGAGTATTTTGCCTTATTATTGGACTACAAAAATAACCCAAACATCGCAAAAAATATTTGGTGTAATTTGAAGGGCCATGTTAGAAGCTTTCAAACATGAACATCTGTGGCCCCACAGGCTTCCACTTCCCTTATCTACACAATCAATTGATGGGAAGGGCTTTTTACAAGAGTAACAAGTGCTAGCTCTACTAGCAGAAAATAAAGTCTCAACCTTATCACTCGATTAATAGTTTCCAGTTAACTGTCATGAATGGCCAAAATTCAAAACTGAAAATACAAAATGAAGAAAAACAGCAACAAGAAGTACGAAATAACAGGAAACAATGAATCACAAAAGAATTTCTAGACCAGCTAAAACTTTTGGGCATCTGCTTTTGAGTTACGTAAACACAAATTCAAGACAAAGTTCAAAGCAAATTAACCCTCACAGTTCCCATTCAGGGGAAAGCAACGAGCCATTCCAGGCCTCTCTATTTAAGGCCTCTATGATAGCATCCAACAATTAAAACACTGGCAAAAGAAAAAACTGAGGGAAGCAAGTCTTGTGAGAACAACTAGGGGTGAATGAATGCTAGGAAGTAGACTTGTGAAACAGAAGCTAAACCCGAGTTACAGTCTTCATCACTGTCAGAGAGGGAGACTTAATTAAGAACAACCAAAGCCCAAGTTCTTTGAGATCCCAGCTTACCTTAACCAAGTCACCAGTAACCACATAAGCCAGACTCTCTTTGCTACCACCACAAGCTCTCTTAAAGTGCATTTTGCATATTGTACACAATGTTTATCCTAATATAGAGGTAGCTTTTGCACATTTTAGGAGACTTGTCCTTAAATTCTATTCACGATAAGATGTAAAATAGAATAGGATACGAAATCAGTATTAACCTATCCTCCCGCAACCCATTTTTCCGATAACTCTTATCAAACATACTTAGTAAACACAAGTTAAGCCATAATTTACAAACTCCCCCCTCCCTCTGCCCTCGTTCTTCTTCATTTTACCCTTTTGCCTATCTCTAACATCTATTGTGGAACTTAGGGGAAGAGAATTTCACACCAGTGACTCTAGATTATCCACAACTCGCTTGAATAAATAAACAGCAAAATGCAAAAAAGTTGCTTCCAGGTGGAGGGATAGAACTCACAGAGACGCGTGGCTGGTCAAAACTAGTATTAACTTAAAAGTCAAACTACTTTGTGAATGTTTAATTCTGTTAACGAAATTATGGAGAAAACATAAGTTTCCTAACAAAACAGAAGGTTAACCAATAATGAGCAACCGAAAAGACTACTAAGATCGACATGCATTCAACAATTCTAACCCAACCAAACTGGCTGAAAATGTAAGCATTTCCTGACCAACAATATTTAGCTTCTTAATCCCAAGGACACTTCCAGTTAAGTTAATGCATGGTAATTCATAGGATTTCTAGCAAGATATATCAAGTCTCAGGAACAAATCATTAAACTTCACTACATAACACCTAAAAAGTAAAAAATGGATATCTGATAGCAATCAACCATACCTCAATTTACCAAAAGAGTTTATCAAAGCCCAACTTCAAATGTACTTCCTCCATTATCATTCACCCTACCACTCACACCAATCTCTCCATCTCCAATTTCGCTTCCACTTCCACCAACCCCATCTCCAACAGGCCAGCTTGATACAGTTTCCACACTATTAGACCTCTCCACAACCCCCATTTCCGCCTCCCCAATCTGCGTCGGCGACAGAAACTCCTCCTCTTCCTCCACCCCACTGCTATTTCTTCGCTCCACCGGAACCACCACTCTCTGCCTCCTAGCAACGTGTCTGTAAGAATTCCAAGCCTCAAACATATCCTCATAACCCTCCATTCTCATCCCCCCAAACCTCTCTCTCCTCCTCCTCTCCCTCGAACCCTCATCACTATCCGTCGGCAACCTCAACCTACACACTGGACACGAATTATGACCCTCAAGCCACGGCAAAATGCAATCCGAGTGATACAAATGTTTACACGGCAACTCTCTCACTTCATTATCGATCAGAAACTGGTCTTTACAGACCGCACAGAGGAGTATCGGATCGGTCTCCAGCAATGCGTTGGTGATTATAATGGTGGGTATTTTCCCAATTGCAGATTTGGAGGTCGGAGATTGGTGAGAAGGAGGAGGAGGAACATGGTTGAATTCGTTGGTTTCGGAGTTGGAGAGGTGGTGGATGAGGCGGTGGAGGTAAGGGCTGTTGAGCAGAAAGTTGTCGTCGGAAGCGGTTGCCGAGGAGAAAGTGAAGGCCGCGGTGGTGGGGGACAGTTCTTGATGAGGAAAGAGAATGGGGTTCAGGAAAGATGGAGACGAAGGATTAGGATTAGGATTAGGGTTGGGGTCCATTTCTTCGAGAAAGTCGCTGTGGCAGTGAGGACAGATGAAAGTGGCGGTCGTGGAGGAGAGGAGAGAGACGCTCATGTCACAGTCGTGACACCAGTATGTCTGACGCTCCACGACGGCGGCGGCGGCGGCGGTGGCGGTGGCGGAAGCGGAGGACATGGTGCCAGATATTTTTATTTTTTCTTGTTATTGTGATAAGGATTTCTTTGGTTTTGGTTGGAGGAGGGGAGAGAGAAGACGTGGCCCCCGGGCCATGGCTGGTGGGTGAATCAACATTGATTGTGACTTGATGCTGTTATGTAATTTAATAAATAAAAAATACTGTGAAGACGTAGCACCACAGCGTCGCTTTGGCCGAGTGGTTAAGGCGTGTGCCTGCTAAGTACATGGGGTTTCCCCGCGAGAGTTCGAATCTCTCAGGCGACGAGATAGGTTTTTTGAGTTAATTACACTATTACCCACAGTTCAACAAAGAAAAGGAAAAACACATTAATGCGCTAAAACGTTATGATTTCCGTGTAGGTGTAGCTCGTTGTTTATTGCTTTTGAGCTTTTACCTTTCTCACAATCAAAACTCCTATGCTCACTCTGTTTGAAAAAAATATATTTTATTCCCACGTACGATGAGGGACTAATGTTGGCATTCTTAGTGCTTTTTTTGTTGATGTTAGTTTTTTTGGTTAATTGTAAATTGCACCCTGAAAGATCATCGAATTTCAATTTACACCCTCAAAGATAGAAATTTGTATTAATGTGCACCCCCAAAAATTAAAAATCTCAATTTGCACCATCCAAAATAGAAATTTGTATCAATGTGCACCTAAAATTAAATTGATAAATTATACCTAGATCCCTTATGCTGATTACTTAATCATTTGGATCTCTTTACATTTAGAATATTACTCCTACATCTTATGACGTTTGTACACGTATAACACGTAATCCCTCTTCGTTGATATCTGTTAATATAACCGTTAAAAAATATGATTTTATCCTAATAAAAAATTATAATTTCATATTACCCTTTATTTTATGGGTCCAATATACTCTAAAATGCAAAATCAAGCATACCATTTGAATGTCTAATAGAATAAAGGGTTGCACATTGAGTGATATATTACATTGAATATAAAAAATATTATATAAATATCTATATTTTATTGGACATTCAAATGGTAAACTTGATTTTGAACTTTAGAGTATATCGGACTCACAAAATAAAGGATAATATGAAATTATAATTTTTTATTAGGATAAAATCATATTTTTAACGGTTATATTAACATATATCAACAAAAAAGGGTTACGTGTTACACGTACACAAACGCCATAAGATTTAGGAGTAATATTCTAAACGTGAAGGGGTCCAAATGATTAAGTGACAAATATGAGGGGATCTAGATATAATTTATCAATTTAGTTTTAGATATACATTGATACAAATTTCTATCTTTGGGGGTGTAAATTAAAATTTTTTATCTTTGGGGGTGCACATTGATACAAATTTCTATCTTTGAGAGTGCAAATTGAGATTTTCTATCTTTTGGGGTGCACATTGATACAAATTTCTATTTTTGAGGGTGCAAATTGAGATTCTTAATCTTTGGGGGTGTGAATTGATATTCGAACTATCTTTCGGGGTGTAACTTGCAATTATCCCTAATTTTTTTATGATAGAAGGATAGTAGTATTATTTTTCAATTAAAATTAGGAAAAATTATCAATAAGTATTATTTTTTTCACAAAAATCTATTAAGTCCTATCATTTTTGTTTTATATCAATAAAGTCATACTCTTGATATTTTATTTCAATTAAGTTCTAAATTTCATTATATTGTAATTTTATCCTTACCCTTTAATTACCAAAAAAAAAAAAAATTTTGAATTTTTAGAACCAATTAAGAGGGCAAAAAAAATTTTGCTTACAAAACTAATATTGAAATCCCATAAAAATAATTCAACTAACACAAACTTCGTGGCAAGTTTCAAAAAAAAAATCCACATTTTCTTATCTCATTGGGGGTACCCAATCTTAAAACCAAAGATGATATTTGCCGAGCATTTAATAAAATAAGAAAGGTTAAAAAAAATTATATTGATAATGTTTATCGATTAATTCCACTTTAATGTTATTATCGATTCAAACGTAACAACTAAAATAAATTCATAACTTAATCATTTTAAATCTGATATGAATTAATAGAATAATTTAAAACCGATGAGATAATGTATCAATAGAATCTACAAGATAATAATATAACCTTAATCGAAATAAGAATTAACTTGTTATAAGAAGAAAACACATCACATAGCAAATTGAAAAATTTCAAGAGTGTGCTGCCAAAGTTGACATAGCAAAAAGAGTGCAAAGTCACGTAGCAATTAAAATGTTGCAAAAGTATGCCGCTGAATTGACATAAGAATGTAAAAGAATAAAAGTGTTGTGGTAGCTAAAGAGTAATGATAAAATTAGAATATAATTGAATTAGAACTTAATTGAAATAAAATATTAAAAAATGAACTTTATTGATATAAAATAAAAATCATAGGACTTAATAGATGTTTATTAGAAAAAATAATACTTATTATGCCATAACTAGATAATAAATTTTTACACTAGAGGGTGTGGGTGTAGTCCATTCTCTTTGTCTGAAAAATCTCGATAATTAATCTTTCCATGGATTATGGATATGATAGTACTATGCTATCAACTCTTTTATTTGAGTAAAACTAATGGTACTGAAACATTTTTTTTATATAAACTAAAGGTGATGCTACATTTAAATCCTTTGATGTTACTCTAAAATGAGATAGATTGGAATTGATTTATCATTTTTGAAGGCTAATGCCCTTTTAGAACTAAATCCAATATCTTGATTGTAAATTATATTTTATTATAAAAAATAAAAATTTATATCATTTTTTATATGACTCCTGCTTTAATATCGATAGCATCATAATTTTGCATTTAATCCATTAGATAATTTAATTTTGTGGGTCACAATAAATTTCATGCAAACCCCTCGGCATTTGGGTTTATTACACGAACATGCCCTTATATTTTAAAAATTACACTGAGACCTAAATAGTTAACCAGATTAACAATAATTATAAAAAAGACTATTTTGTCCTCTATTTGACCGATCAAACTTAAATAAACAAATACACTATGTTTAGATCAACTCTTAGGCCCGACCCTGCAAGAGCCATACATAACCCGCGATGGGACATTGGAGACGACACGTGTCCTCAACATAGTAGCCTCATAACCTCCATGGAGTAACACGTGTCCTAGGCATGAATGTCATTAGAGCGTCCCATGACTGACACATGTCCTAGTGTGTATGCCCCCGAAACAGCCCCTGCTTGACACATGTCCTCTGGGTAAAGTCATTCGCTTCGGCGAAATGTGAACAGTTGTTTCGATGGTTATCTCATTCCAAATGATGATGTTAAATTCCCAAAGAAAAAAGGGGAGGTTAGATGATGCAAGCATACACACGATCGAGGTAAAGTGAAACATTATTACGTGAGAGTGGAGTTAGCTATCAATCATCAATCACTCTTCCCAAAGTAACCAGAATGGTTGGAAAGACAGATTAGTAACCAATGAGGAAGGCGTACATAGTGCAAAGACATGTAATTCCTGACCCCTTGGGGGGTGATAGATGAAAGTGCCCTTGTGCATGCGCAGCCACAGCCAGGGCACATTAAATGATCCAACGAAGGATGAGACATATTTATTGCTCGGTAAAGTCAGAAAAGCGAACATTAAATGCTTAGAGATCCGAACATTAAATGCATAAGCCTCTAGCATGTGAAAAGGAAGGCATTCTTCTCAAGGTCTATGCACTACATGTTGTCCTCCAAATGAGCCAATTAGGAGTCTTTCCTCCAAGGGACCTAGTTGTCTGCAATAACTAGCTCTTGAGAGGTATAAGTAATATTCTCAAGCTTAGGTCTAAGGTACACAACCCCTAACCCCAAGTAGTAGAACAAAGTTTTTCAAATCTTCTCTCAAATAATAATTTGATCGTCAGAGGGGTCACGCTAGAAGACATTTAGGCGCCCTTCTAACCCTTCTTTTTGAATGATAGGGCCCGTTCGAGAACTCACAAGTGAATAGATCGTGAGTAAAGAGTTCCATCACCGTTTATAGCGTTCCACTCGTTGTGGGATATTCAACTTTCCAGGCAAGCTCGAGCTCACAAGGGAAGAGATTTGTCATCTTATTCATTGTGCTAGAATTATCCTGCATAACCTGTATACACAAAGAATAAAAACACCATTGGCCAAACTTGCACATCTTTTACCCCCTTCACCCTTGCTACCACTTACACCACCTACCTTCCACCCCCGGCCCCACCCAATTGTAATTGTACAATCTCCCTCCCCTTTCTCTGTCACTCTCTCACACACACACATACCTACCCACGCATACACACATAGACATGTGATATACAACATGCGATCTACCATGGATTTGAGCAAAAAATCCCTCTTTTTTATTTTGATTTTCTCCATTTTGTTCCTAATATTTGTGTCTACCTTCCTAACTAGCATCGTAGAAACAGACAACCACTTATAAGACCTTTTGAAACTTGCTTAACCACACCACTCGTACTTTATTTGGTTTAATTTATGGCTGAATTCGTGTAATTAGATTGAAATTGGTAGTTGGATTTGGGTAATTTCTGGTTGAATTTGGGTAATTAGGTGATTGTGGGTAGTGTGCCGCTATGTTGCATGTGTTTGGGGGGACTATGGTCCATGTGTTGGTGGGACTGTGATCCTTCATTGGCTTTCTAGTGCGACTATGTGCATAAAGGTTGGGCTGGACATGGTGGTTTTGGGGTGTGTGCGGGTGAAATCTTTTGAGAATCCGAGTGATCTAAGATTTAGCATGGTGATGGAGGATTGATGGTGGCACCGTGGGTGACGGTGGTGTGGCAAGTTCGTGTGGGGTGGCGACAAAGTTGGAGTCCTCTCTCTCTCAGATCAAAAATAAATTTATCAGTGTTTCATCAGATTTGAAATAAATCTAACCCAAAACAATTAGATCATCGCTTAGACTTGAAACAAATCCACGATGAAACAACTGGGTTCTCCCTGTCACTCTCTCTATCTCTAATTTGAGTTGTACATTTGTTGATCCCATGGTGTTGAGGTGTCGATGGTGGACAATGGGTTTAGTT